GGCTGAGCTGTAGCAAGCGCTGACGACCAGTTGATCTCAGTTTGAATACGCCGTTAGTTAACCGCTTAACAGAGTAGAAACTTACATGAGCTGCAGAATACAGGTTCTTGTGGATTATTTCTTTCGTATCATTCATTATATTGTTCTCTCTCTATTTCGCTTAGTCGTTGATCGTTCAGACACTATGTCAACGTGAAGGCGTCACGTTAAAAAAAAACTGCATAGCAATTACCAGCCGGTGGATCCTAGCGGCTGGTAGGGTCCTCTGCAAATGTGTTCATGTCTACTGCGGTCATTAAATACGACTTTATCAAGATATACACGCAAATTGGAGCTAGTAAGGGAGTCTATGTCAGGCAAACAGTGTGTGTATAATTTTGAGGCTTGAATGCGATGAACTAGTTAAACTTCACCTGCATGTTACCTACATTTACAACACACTCACAAATAGTTAGCAAACAGAAGTCTCGACAAAACAGCTAGTGTTTGTGCCATCACTAGCCCAAGGTATGCATGTACTTATTTGTTTATTTACTTGTATACTGATGAGAAATGATGGCCAATAAAGCAACTCCAGCGATATATGAAGTTTTCTTGAAAACAATACAGCTAATGGTATTCTTTGAGCTCGAGAAAGTTCTGGACTTTACTGGAGCGGGTGTTAGACCGAGTGCACTACGAAGCACCATTTTCTTGGTCGGTGCTTCGAGCTGACACACGAAACAGCTTCATAATCTATTATGTGAAATGATATAAATAGACCCGAAACTGAATATCTTGAAAAAGCTCAACAGAGACGCTCGAATGATCGAGCCTATTGGCTGCAAGAGAGCTCACATAACTGCGATGAAGGTGTAGGAGATGATATGTTGTAGCTATCCATATTGATTCTGAAAGCATCGTACATATCGAGTTAGATTTTTTATGTTACGGAATACATGCTTGCTTGTACATTACAACTTTCATCATAAAAACTTTAAAATATGTATACATTTTTTTTATAACTTGCAATTGTCGTTGTTCATCATGAGCTCTTGTTTTTTTCTATGGATCTGTGGTGGCTTTGGTCACATGAACACTCAAAGACTAATATTCATTTTGCTT